ATACCTGTGACTACAATTACGTTGATGAAACAGTATATGTACCCCAACAGTTCTAATACCTGTGACTACAATTACGTTGATGAAACAGTATATGTACCCCAACAGTTCTAATACCTGTGACTACAATTACGTTAAACAGTATATGTACCCCAACAGTTCTAATACCTGTGACTACATTTACTTCAGATTATTCTTAATTTGTTCATTATGGTTACCAAACAAGTCCTTTGTTAACTGAATTTGTTTCTTAAATTTCTTTATAACTGTGCAAGCACACTTGTCGGATTGTATGGTTGAACTTTATGTTATTACGTGTGAAAACTGTATTGTTACTGTACAGGTCATTACGTGTGAAAACTGTATTGTTACTGTGCAGGTTATTACGTGTGAAAACTGTATTGTTATTGTACAGGTCATTTCGTGTGAAAACTGTATTGTTACTATATAGGTCATTACGTGTGAAAACTGTATTGTTACTGTGCAGGTCATTACGTGTGAAAACTATTGTTACTGTACAGGTCATTACGTGTGATAACTGTTGTTACTGTACAGGCTATTACGTGTGAAAACTGTATTGTTACTGTACGGCCATTACGTGTGAAAACTGTATTGTTACTGTACAGGTCATTACGTGTGAAAACTGTATTGTTACTGTACAGGTCATTACGTGTGAAAACTGTATTGTTACTGTACAGGCCATTACGTGTGAAAACTGTATTGTTACTGTACAGGTCATTACGTGTGAAAACTGTATTGTTACTGTCAGGTCATTACGTGTGAAAACTATTGTTACTGTGCAGGTCATTACGTGTGATAACTGTTGTTACTGTACAGGCCATTACGTGTGACAACTGTATTGTTACTGTGCAGGCCATTACGTGTGAAAACTGTATTGTTACTGTACAGGTCATTACGTGTGATAACTGTTGTTACTGTACAGGCCATTACGTGTGAAAACTGTATTGTTACTGTACAGGTCATTACGTGTGATAACTGTTGTTACTGAGTCCATGATCATTTGTCTATATATTTAGATGATTATGTATTATTTACTTTTGCAAAAAACTAAATGTTTTATATAAATATTGGTGAACTTATTGTTAATTAAATATGTCATTTAAAATCGTGATATCATGAAATTAACTGATTCACTAATGCAAGTTCACGTCATGTAAAATGTAAAGTTTGTGATAGCAAAACCCTCGGCTCTTTCATTGTAATGAATAAAATGCTTCTCAAGTATGAATACAGCACCAATGAATCATTGTCGGAGTAAGAGTAAGATGGAAGTAAATATGATAGCGGGCTGCGTAACTAAGGGTTCAAAATTCAAGGCTACATTATATTGTTGAACATTAACAATTAAAGCGCCCCCCCAGTAGCACACTCTGCGGACTTACAACGCTAGAAACCGGGTTTCGATACCCGTGGTGGGTATAGCACAGATAGCCCATTGTGTAGCTTTGTGCATAAATTCAAACAAACGATTAAAGCGATTTAAAATTTACAGACAATCCCGCTATTCCGTTAAGATTAGTTTTGTAGGTGACGCATGCTGCTAATTGGTTGCCCTCCTATTCAGCAGCTCTAACTTATAGAAGGCTGAGGTTAAACCTTGGAATCTCTGATTTGGTCGTCTAGACCATATGTTGCATAAGGCGTCGTTCAGGTTGAAAAATACAATAAAGAGGACAAACATAACACGAAAGAAAAGTTTAAACAACACAAAAAATATGTCACTTTCAAATAAAATGATTTATTCATAAAACATGCTGTTCATTTTGATCAGTTTTACAGAATTCCTGAAGATGTGTAAAATTTTAAAGAGAGAGTGTTGGAGTAAATGATGACACAAATATTAAAAGAAGATAAACCGTTTTTATACACCTACCCTGCTTTTCTCATACATTATCAGAAACGACTTTGTTTCATCAAATGAAGTCCAGTACCTATTCTTATGAAATACAGTAGGAGTTTGTTTGGCCTAAAGAAGCTCAATAGGAGTGTATCTGGCCTTATGAAGTCCAGTAAGAGTTTGGCCTAAAAGTCCAATAGGGTGTATCTGGCCTTATGAAATACAGTAGGAGTTTGTTTGGCCTAAAGAAGCTCAGTAGGAGTGTATCTGGCCTTATGAAGTCCAGTAAGAGTTTGGCCTAAAAGTCCAATAGGAGTGTATCTGGCCTTATGAAGTCCAGTAAGAGTTTGGTCTAAAAAGTCCAATAGGGTGTATCTGGCCTTATGAAGTCCAGTAAGAATTTGTTTGGCCTAAAGAAGCTCAATAGGAGTGTATCTGGCCTTATGAAGTCCAGTAAGAGTTTATTTGGCCTAAAGAAGTTCAACAGCAGTTTGTTTGGCGTACTAAAGTCCAATAACAGTTTAAAGTCCATTACAGTGTTTAGTACCTAAGTCTAATTATTAAGTTTTTTAGTGCAATAAGAGTTTGCCGAAGATAACCACATAGTAAAATCAGTAATCGATCGAAGACAGTGAAGGAAATCGCCACCTATCATAGTTCTGTCAAGTCAAACGTAATTGGGAAACACGTATTGAGAAAATCGAAAACTCACTATATAGCTACGAGCACAATTCACAATCCGAGGTTAACAAAATACAAGATAGTTTATACTAGATCAAGTTTTTCAATAACAGCAATATTAATTATTTCTTTTTTTATTACATTTTATCAGAGTATCTTTCCAACAATGAAAAAACAAAATCTTTGGACAGTTTTTAGTTTATAGTCTGTACCACGCATGCACCAAAGTATCCTTATCATCTATAAGGAACTCTGAAATCAACTTGAAGATGAGGAGTTCTTGCCAGTTTTCTCCATAACTTCTCAAATTAGCATATCTATACAATTTTATTTACAACACTGTAAAGGACAGGAAGACTAGATGATGTCATAACCACAGACTTCATGATTGGTAAACTCTGACGTCACACACACTCATGGCTCTCCACCGCTTTGTTGGCATCCAAGTAGTGTTTTTTTTAAATCATTAATCACGTGCTCGGCGTTTCAATTACAGTATCATAAAAGTCCAGCGTTTTACGTATCTCGTGTTTTATGTATATCACTCAATAGCGTACAAGGTTTTATTTACATCGCTAGTAAGTGCTCATTGTTTACAAAAATCAAAAATGTTGTTTGAATAACCTGAAACGTCCTGTTTAAGTTACTCGCGTGTCTTCATTGCTTTATTTACATCGTTTGTCATATCACTTACGAGTGTTCAGTATTTTTACATTACGCGTTGGTGTTTAAGTTACATAACGTGAGAATATCACGGGAGTTCCAATGTTTCATTCACATCACACGAGTTTATTGAGTATTTTGTGTTTACAGACGAACATGCCGATGTTTAGTTCACATCGCAAAGTGTGTTATTTTGTTTACATTTATCGAGAGTGTTGAGTGTTTTGTTAACATGCATAAAGTGAGTGTTGAGTGTTTTGTTTACGTGCTTCGAGTGTGTTGAGTGTTTTGTTTACATACATCGAGTGTTTTATTTACATGTTTCGAGTGTGTTGAGTGTTTTGTTTACATGCTTCGAGTATGTTGAGTGTTTTTATTACGTTAGACGATTGTGTCTAGTCATGCATCGAGTGTGTCGAGTGTTTTATTTACATCATGTGCTATTGTTCAATGCTTACTTTATATTACACGTGGGTGTCGAGTGTTTTATTTAAGAAAAACGTTGACTGAAGATAACTCTTTCCAGTCGAGTTTTGTGTACAAGAAACAAGTTCTGGATAATATCCTGGATAAGAAGTTCCAAAAATAGGGCTCATCACCACTTCTGGTCCGTTCGGTTTAGATAGAGGAATGCCAACATCCTTGTTCGGGTCCATACGTCTCTGGTCCTTAATAGGACACTGTGAATTGAAATTACAATAGGATTAAGCACCAACTATATACAATGAAAAAGTATCATTAATTAATGTTTTATCATATGAAGCTGGTAAAAACTTAATGGATTCAAGTACTACAAAACACCTGGATTTTAAGATTTTTATGATAAAACTCACCAACTTGAACGAATGAAAATGATCCTTATCGTCCATGCTGAAATTATCAAAACCCCTGTCCCTTTCTGGCTGATCAGTGTGATTTTTAGAGCTCCAGTCCTTTTCATGTTCACTATTTGATGAAGATGATACTGTTTTGACCTCAGCTTTGTAATCAGATTCATCGCAACAGTCGCCATCTGGTGGTAGGTTTTTGTTCCACTTGCATGGCTGGTTTTGTGGTTCTGCTAAACGGCATCACATATACACTAATCATTTAATGAAACGATTTTAATATTTATATTACTTTAGACTATAAGCTATCTTATCTTTCACCATTAGCGTAGGTAACTACAATATTGAGGGTGGTTTTATCGTCCTGCCAAATGGTTGACTTTCCTTAAAATACAGTATCTGTTTTAACACTTAAGTACGATATGCTATTTTGTTTATTTAGTATTCTTTGATTAATAATATTGATTACACCAGCTATTATATCGAATACGATTACTTTTAGTTTATTTTAATTTGTTTTTCGTTATCATACTTTTATTATAAAGACCTATCTGCATTGTTAGCTTAGATCTTATATTTAGGACTAACTTAAAATCTCGTGAGATATTGTTGGTTTGTGGCGAGATTACCCAACTGATGAAACACGTTACAATTTTTATAAGTAGAAACGTAAGTGAAGTGTATTTAATGAGTTGTACTGATGACCAGGTTGAGTTTGAGTTTTTATTCTAATCGGAAGTTAGTATTATTGACAGCTGTTTTCGAAATATACACTGATTAATCATTTCATGACGTAACCCAAAGCAATGTTTGATTGGGTAAATTTTATCAGATTTGAAATTTATTCATCCAAATACGTTCATCGGGTGGTATGAACATTTCATTATTTGACTTTCTACAGGTCGAGGTGCTCGAGGCCTATACTTTTGAAAACACTATAAAAACCTTACATACAAAGATATACAAGACACAACTAACCCCCCACTACCCAACAGAAATACTTTTTCACATTATTTGGGGGGGGGGATAATAGTCAGTTAACCTACAATTGCAAGGAATATACGTACTTTTATTTTTTGATGACCGTCGTAGACAGATAACAACAATACAGGTGATTGAAATGATTAGAACAATGCCTCCAATAATCCCTGCTAAGGTTACCAACATGGGAATTTTTTCTGTAAAATTCAATACAATATGTTAAATATCACAGCCGTGAGAGAGAATGTTGGAAGTTAAAAACTTGCGTATATTAAGTAGATTTTAGTTTGTCAAAAAATCAATTCTAATAAATTCTCCAGCTTAATTTGGTCAATTAATTTCAATAAAAGATATGAATATATATAGTTTTATTATACTGTTACGTTTTCGTTCGTTAGTTAATTTTCCGTAAATTCCGTTCCGACGAAACTTTAGCGACACAAGTCCTTTCTTAAATAAAACTGGTTTATTCTTTCTGAATATAACTTTGCGATACACTTAATTTCAACAGTCGCACTATAACAAATGTTATAATTCTCAACGAATGTCTCACGTGCTCAACAATATTCTCTCTCCGCAGTTCAATTACACATTCTGTCACGTTGTGACCGTCTTATATATATATACCAGACTACCCCCAATCTAGTAGTCTCCCGACAATTCACGAAGGTTCGAGAAGGACGTGGCGTGATACTAGTCACGTGATCTTGCTGATGCAACAATATTATACTTGTAGCTGCTTTCAAAGTGTTCCTGTCTGCTCATCCTTCTGCTGAATATCGTGATGTTTCAACCTTCACGACCTAATCGCAGGTGAAATCATTTGTATCTCAATTAAAAGCTGAACATAAAAAGTTGATAGCAGAAGCATAAAAGTTTGGCAATTGCTTAAGTAACTTCAGTGATACAAGTCCTTTCTTAATTAAAACTAGTTTATTCTTTCTCAATACAACTTTTCAATATACAGAATTTCACAGTCACTCTAACTTAACG